CAATGAGGCAGAAATGGCCATAGTGGTGTGCTCTGTGTTCGTCGGTAACATACCACTAATACACATTCCAAAAAATGTTAGGTGGTTGTCCTAAGCATGTCATTTTAAAATTATATTGCGAGCAGGCAGCAATAAACTGAAAATAGCGTCAAATTAAGCCATATCACCTTAAAAAGAGAAGTACTGCCTTCATGTGAAGACATTGCCCAAAATGCTTGGACTCACTTCGATACGCGTGAGAGCGAGGGGGCAAAGTAACGAGACAGGAATCCATCCATCGGACTGTAAATCCTCCTCTGAAGTAAGTTTAGACTTCACCATTGCCTACGACAATAAAGCAAAATGTTGATTACCTGAGACAAAAATTAAACATGCTGTAAAAGATCTCTTAGGTTAGTGCATGTTTAAAACATCGGCAATTATAGGCCGGATACGAAAGAATTCTGAGTGTGAAAACAACGTACAGAAGTTTCCAGTGAGTCTACGCCCTGGTAAAAAAGATTAAGTTTCTGTGCATCATCAATTATAAAGGCCATTAAAGCACTAAACCACCAGGTTGCCAGATATGACTTTGACATGTAAACTCTTTTCAATCCTTAAAATGGCATCAAACTTACGCAGATTAGTCAGAATCAGTCAGTATCCTTGGAGTAAATAACATAAACCCTTAAAAATGCCATTGAAACGGTGCAGGTATTCATAAAAAGAAATTAAGTTGCATAAAGTTTTACAAATAATATAAGCATATAAGTATACAAAATCCACAAAAATAATGAAATATACATGATAAAAAGGAGAGGGATTTGCGAAATAACAAGGTATAATACATTCACAACATTTTCATGCGAGTCAAAATTAATTTTAACAAAGGGTCTATTGAAATCGAAGAAGTGCTGCGTTTGTAGGTATCCCAGGATGTTAATATCACGAGATTTATGTATAGAATTGATAGAACTTGATCGTACATGACAGTATCTCCTGGAAGTTGGCGTAGAGGCCCTCGCAGTCATCTCGAAGTCTGTAGCAATGATTTTTGGTTTGCTCAAGTATCCTATGCCTGTTGCTTGTTCTGTATAAACTATTATTTTCGATTACAAATTCACGTACAAATTCGAAAGATCAAAACAAAGGACAAATGGCTTCCACACACGATCGGTCTCGGATATGCAATCGGATAATTTCTACTGGTATTTTTAGGGTAGTTATTTAATATATTAAAGTGAAATTCGTGTGGAAAATAACTCACCAAAGTCTCCGAGGCCGCGATCACGCGATCAGGAGACTTGCAGAAATCGTAAACCCCGATAAGGGCTTCTGGCGTCTCAGATGGTAAGTGAGAAGGTTTACAAACAGGAGGGGGGTCTGTCACCGGCCTCCCAGCAACAGCCGATGAAAACATGCGGGTGAACTCCGGTATAGGCTGGACACGGTCAAGGGTAACTTGAATAAGGGGAAGATTTAGTAAGTGATTCAGAATGGGAGTGCAGGATCCGGAGCCCACCATTTCAAGCAGAGGTAGTGCGTGGTCCTCCAAGGGCGCATGCAACCAAGTTAAGTCAATGTCAATATACTGACAGCGGACCGATGAGTTAGATTGAAGACGAATCTACGAGGGTAAGAAAGATCGCTTCACAATGTAAATGTGTAGACAAAAGACGCACATAGGAAATTACCGGTTGCTATCTTGCAATAATGGTGACTGGGAATAATCTCTTAAATTCTCCTATGGAAAGGAAAAGAAAAACAACCTTGTCTGTGATGTCAATTGCAAAACGGAGACGATGACCAAAATTCTGCGCCTGGCCCTCATGAAAGGTGAGATCAGGAAGGGTGACATTACGACGACCAACGCGGACGGAGAGACAGCGTGGTAGCACCTCAGAGGCCAGAACGCGAGAGGGATTGGACTTGTCACCTGGCATGTAAAGTCCGGTCGTTGCCCAGGCCAGCCGAAGAATGAGACGGTATTTGTCAGTGCAGCTTAAAAACAGAGAAAATACGTATGTAAGTAGAAGACAGCAGGTTTACCTATCGAAAGAAAGCTATGCCATTGTGAAGGCAATGCTAAGGGTACTAGTTGTTAGTTGAATAGAGGGAGGTCATAGTTAACTGAGGCACCAATAAAAGTAAAAGTGGTTCGAGAAAACCGTCCCTTAAGGGCATGCCGAAATGTCATGATTTCTTCGGCACGTGAGGTTGCAATGGTGTGGCGGACGGCCAAAAAAGTTGTTCCTCCTCCCAATGCTCGCTGCGTCAACGTCATATGTCTTCGCAGGCGGCTTTTTTTCACTCGCTGACCTGAAGACCACTTGACCAATATTCACTCACACACACGTGTGCACACACGCGTGCCCAACAGTCGCGGTGTCGCAAGAGCCACTTGCACACGCCAACTCGCAGCCACGCAGCAGGAGGCCTCAACACGCGTCACCCCCCGTAAGATAAAACACACCAATCACACACCACTTAAAGTTGTTTCACAATTCCGCAAAAGCGTCTGCCATCATCACCTCTCTCACAACAACGCTTGGCACGATACACACAGTCAGACACTCGACTGGGCGCAGTCAACACTAGCCCTGGCTCCGCCAGCGGTCATTGCTGTCTGAGATAGCAACATTGGGTTCGGTGCACAATAAATCCCTCATTCTAGTGACTCTTGCCTTTTAACAATAATTTGGGGATTTTCAACCTGATAATTGTAGTGCCTTAAGCACAACCAATAGTAAGACCCTACACTGCCAGTATACAGAGATCGATAGGCAAGTTACGTCAGTAAAAGCAAATTTAATGAAATTCAAACTTCATTGAGGATTATGAGACCGGGAAAGTGATGTGAAATATCTTAAGGTCCAGTCTACATGGGTGCTCTCAAAGAAATTTTAAAATTTCTAAATTCCCATCAGAGAATTCAGAAGGGTAGTTGGTGGGCATATGTAAGTTTTTGATAAATTCTTATCAGGCCATTACATTTATATAATCGAAAGGGGTACAATTTAAACAAACGGTCAATACTGTGTGCCTTTTCATACGAGCGAGTCGTGGGAATGGTGGATAGGGAATCGATAAGAGAAGGCTGGTTACGCGGGGATGGTTTGGTGAAGCCAGCCTAGGGAGGGGGAAGGGACGGGGGGCAAAGAGAGCGCGGACGAGTACATGTAGCTACGTGACTGTGGGCCATGTTAGACGCGGATCTTGCAGGAGGTTCTTTTGTGAAAACAACGCCGGCTTCCCCAATCTGATAGCGGTCGTTTCTGCTGTTGCTGGCAGGCACTGACCCCAGGACTTTGGATTGTTTGCTTCGTTAATGTTAGGATGGCACAGAAGATGAGTCAACACTCTAGCCGTCCTCGGGTCAACAAGGAGACAAGGAGACAACAAAACGCAATAACGCCATCGCACAAAGGGCCAGGATACGCGCGACCTTCAAGTGCCGATACCACGCGAGAGCACAAAGAATTACGCACACACGAAACAGCGCGCCGGGTTGTGTCACCCTGAGGTCATCAACATCACACGACGGCTGTCCGGATAAGCGTCCCACGCAGGGACCAATAAGAGACATAGGGCACAAAGACTGCTTGCCCTTAAATACGAGGCTGCGGGCAGACGGCGGAATGCTGCTGCCACGAACAGAACGCGTTGCCGGCACACAGGACAAGCTGTAGACGAGACGACGCTGCCCACAGGAACGCAGAAGCTGATGTACACACAGACTGTTGCAATTAACTGTTTTCTACTATCCTTTCTGTCTTCTCTTTCTAACATACAACTGGGGGACATAACAGTTAAACTCCATGCGATGTCCGGAATCAACAATGTAGGTGAGTGTAGTACTGTTTATGCTCCTGACTTCACCTTTGCTCAGCTATGCCGAGAGGTGTTCCCGTATTCTTTTGGATAAGCACCGACTCGTACGACCGATATGACCTGTTCCACAGGAGCAAGTAAATGAGTGGATGCACAGGGATGTGGTCTGAGCTGGCAATCCATGCTTACCTTACCTGTGCAGGACCGGATTGGTTGAGCATAATTCCCGAGCTTCCGCTGCTGGGAAGGTTCATGACACGGCTTGGTCAAAGCGTCTTCTTGCGAGTTCACTTGCAGCATGCCCTTGAAAGAGGACTTGGGGGAATAGCGTTTCCTTTTTCACGGTGGGTGTGGTGGGCTTTATTTCTCTCTCGATCATAATTTTTGTGACGAATCCCCCAGGATACCTGTCCTCACAAAGCAGGTCCTATATTTTCTTAAGTTCCATGTCAATACTGTCTGCCGAGCAAATTTTTCTAGCCCTTTGCGTTAAGCAGCGGACTAGATTGCGTTTCTGTCGGATGTGTACGAAACTATTAGCTTTTATACTGTCCGGACCAGGTTTTCTTTCAATAAACTTTCCTTTCGGATAATATCGTCAGATCTTTGACTTAGGAGGAATTCCAAGAAAGTAAGCGAACCTGCCGTTTCCACCTCCGAAATGAACTTAATGGAAGAGGGTACTTGATTGACAGTATTTAAGAGCGCATTTACATCGATTTCTGTAGGGACGATGGCGAAGACGTCATCGACATTGCAACCGTAGTGTTTTAACCTATGGATACGACCGCTAGGTTTAAATTTTTCTAACTTGTCCATCAATATATTAGTCAACAGAGGCGAGCCCATAGCAACACCATTTATCTGTCTATATAGTTGGTTGTCAAAAAGGAACTGCACATTTAATTAAGATTTTTGTAATAGTTCCTTTAATGCGTTCGTTGGTATTCCTGCTTCCATCTGATTTGTCAATAAGAATTCGCAAATATAATCGACTGCCTCTGTGACCGGGACTTTTTTAAACAGCGATGAGAAGTCTAGGGAAGACACCATCATGCCGTTTAAGTTCATTTGTTTGACCTCGAAAGCCTACGCATACTCACCGGTTACCCTTCTCAAATCGCAATTTTAAAAGTAAAGGTTAATCGAAAGTAAAGATGCTCTGCGAACCTCTAAACAACTAATTTCTTTTCCTAATTAACGCAACAAGGCGTGTGCTTTTTCAGAACTGACTTCATCCTTTATCACTGCGCGAATATGCTGACTTTTCCGAACTGGCTAATGAGATTCAAGAAAGCAACAATGCCAGCTTTAACATGGTTAATTAACAACTCAAAACCAGGTAGCTATCTACCTGGGCAACCAGTATACATAGAGTAACAAGGAACGTAGGGTGTTCAATATCGATTAAAGGCAAACGCACCCATTCGGCTGTCGTGACTGATCCATCAGAAGACGTACTGTATTGATATCAAGTGTGAGAGTGAAACTGTATGTCAGGTAGTCCGTGTAGAAACCCAGAGAAGCGGCATTCAGCTTGGATCCCGAGAGGATAGCCAGCAGGGGGAGGTTTGCCAACTTTTGGTCTGCCAGATCTCGCAACCTATGGACCATGTTCTCGGGTTCCGCGTGATTAAAGAGTACATTAACTGGGGAGGCGAACCTTACAGGCTGTAAGAGGATAACGGGACGCAAAAAGGGAGACTCCGAGTAGATGCCAAAGGCATTGTTTGCAGACAAGAGGAAGGAGAGCGCCTCCAGAGTCATCTGATCGGCCTCCGTGTATCGAAGTGGAAGGAACTGGCAGGATGCAGAGGAATTGGGCAACCTGACTAGATCTATGAACAAATAAAAAGGGGGATACAATCGGTTGGCGCTCCTTACTTCATATAAGCCACGGTAGCTGACCACGTCAAGTTATGAGAGGGCATGCTTTTAAAGTGAAACAGGAGCAAGAGGAAAAATCCTTCAAATTTGTTAGCCCAACACGATTCAAGAGTGTGTAATTCAACTCGTCTAACTGAGCGAGTATCATGCGAGTATCATTTTCTTCAGCAACGCGTGGGTGTGGATGGTGTCATAAAAGAGAATGCGTGAATGCAGGAGAAAAGACAATCTTACTGGTCTAAAAATTATTTGGTTGGAGCCTAATGCGTAAAGCTACTGGAAACACCTGTTGGGAAAGTTAGTGTAATACACGAACCCTGATTACTAGGGGTTTTACTGGTGGAACATATAGGGAAACCGTAAAGCAGTCGGGAAACTGGTTTAAAAAATTAGGTGCAGAGCCTGACCATACATTTTGTTTAAGTGACCGAATAGTTAATGGGAATGGACCTGCACCGTCTAAAAACAGGAATCGACAGCCAATAACGTAACGGGGAGAAGAAACTTGACTAGCACAAAAAAGTCAACCCGATCCGAACGTAGGTCGAGCGATGAGAACTGAGAAGGCCACAACCAAAAGGCATGCAAATAGAATAAACGGGAGTTACGTCTCAATCTAAATCCAACAACTTCCACCAACCCGAAACTATATAAATAGGGTGTCCCAAAAAATGTATACACAATTTAAATAATTGTAAATTTGGGGTTTATTATAATTTTATTATTTCAAAAATGAAAACTATATTTACAAGTATCATTTTAATGCTTTTTCAATGCATTTTGATTATTGCAACAGTAGCTGAATTGGAAGAAGCCATTGAGCACGAATACACCCGAATACCAAGGGAATCGTTTTATGGTGTATGCTGCATGTTTTCAGCAGTCATGACCAAAATGGACGTCAGTCTATGAACATTCAGTAAAAAAAACAATAAACTGCTAATTTGAAATATTTTATATTTTTGAAACACTAAAATTCGGTTAAAACCAAGTTTACAATTGTGTAAAATGTGTGTACATTTTTGGAACACCCTGTATATATCGGCAATATGTATATATATATATATATATATATATGTACTCAGAAATGTGCGAACACCGATCGAATAGGCTTCCGAACTAAACAAAGT